CATGGGCAAAGTTTAACATAATTGTATGTGACAGTAGATAATCGGATGAAAATTTTGACTGTATTTTAAGCTATTCAATGATAGAATGCCATGCATGTTTAAATTACACGTGACAATTGATCAATAATGTTACATGTCCCTAGAGTCCATGCAAGGGGCATCTTTGATATATAAAAAGTAGACACGACAATTCATCAATATTTTCATGTCTCTAAAGTCCATGCAAGTGGCACTACAAGAAACTATAGCTTTCTCAATCAACAAAAAATTAGTCACGAAAATGGTCTTTTACCAGCTGATTAAAAATTCTTAGTCGGGCGTACCATTGTCGATCAGCTTTCTCCTGGCCAATTTTTGGTATGTTTGATATATAAAACCTACACACGACAATTCATCAATATTGTTACATGTCTCTAGAGTTCCAACAAGTAGCATGTTTGGTATATAAAATGTAGACATGACAGTTCATCAATATTTTCACGTCTCTTGAGTCCATACAAGTGGCATACGAGAAACTATGGCTTTCTCGATCAACCAAAAATTAGTTGACGAAAACACTCTTTTACCGACAAATAAAAATTCTCAGTCGAGCATACCTTTGTTGGTATGTTTGATATATAAAACCTACACAAGATAATTCATCAATATTGTTACATGTCTCTAGAGTTCACACAAGTAGCATGTTTGGTATATAAAATGTACGCATTACAATTCATCAATATTATGACATGTGACATGTCTCCCTTGGTTAAACGTTATCAATCAAACATTTTTATATAGCATTTAAAAGTTCTCGAAGTATAAAAATCTATAGGTAGAAATTGTAAAAAGCTATAAGATTTTTAATATTAATCTTCTATAGCCTTGTTTGGAAAAATAAATAAATAAAATCCATACTTAGGTGCAACCCTCATCATTCCTGGTTCTGTCACTGACCACGAGTAAGAAGGTGTCTTAGTTATCAATGCTATTGTATATAATATAATAGTAGATTTCTTAACATCGCGATTTATTCTATTTGTTCTTTTCATATGTAAAGATCCCATGCTTTCTTTAAAATCCTTCTACATTATCACAATCTAGTTGCATGAGTTTCAACAAAAGTTGGATCACTTTGATTTTAATTATAATTTCACTCAGATTTTAAGTTGATTAAAAATTAATAATCTACTTATCCATTTATTAATTTATCACAGTTTCTTGCAAGTAATGCCTGTTTTGGTATCTAATAACCCACATGTTACATGCATATATTCTTTATAAAAATATGGCACAAATCTGTGAAAATATATATCCAGACAAAGAAATTTATTCCTAAAGTTGGGGACAGTTCCAATAAATTTCTGTCCAACTGTAAATAAAAATTATGGCACATGCTGGATAGAAACTGCATTAAAACCAGCCAAATTATTCTACCTTCTACACATTACATATAACAATAGTCACACCAGACTTACATCATTTTTTGCTCTCATTTCCCCTTTATCTCATAGCTACATAAATTCTTAAATTCTCAAATATTGTAAATTTCACCATTACTTTGTTTGCATTATGATGAACTTCTTACAGAAATGGCCAGAACCAGTAGTCCCAGTTCAACATTTATCAGACACTGGGATACGAGTGATCCCGGGACGCTACGTCAAGAAACCATCAGAAAGGCCGTCCAATGTCGAATCAGCCGTGTCGGACATCAACATTCCAGTCATTGATCTACACGAATTGTACTCGGAAGACCAATTGCTCAGCCAGAGGGCTGCCAGCTTAATAGACAGTGCCTGCCGCGAGTGGGGCTTCTTCCAGGTGGTGAACCACGGTGTCAGCCACGATCTGATGGTGCGTACCCGAGAGGCCTGGCGTGAATTTTTTCACCTTCCCATGGAGGAGAAGAAAAAATACGCGAATTCGCCGAGTACCTATGAGGGATACGGTAGCCGGCTTGGGGTGGAGAAGGGTATATCACTGGATTGGAATGACTATTTCTTCCTTCATTACCTTCCCATGGCGATTAGGGACCGGAAAAAGTGGCCTGCTCTCCCAGTCTCTTGCAGGTAAAAATTAACTCGTGCATAATTACTGAGCCAACGGATTTTCTTGTATTTTTTACATGTAAATCTTACAACAAACTCATCCTTAAAATCAGTTTGTACGGAAAGATTGTCTAAGTAATTATAAACCTGCAAGTTAAGCACTAACTTCGTAACATGGAACACATATAGAGTGGTTACATAAAGTGATAATTTGGGAGACCTTAGTAGATCAAATTGAACTTTAGTTTTCTTTTTTTGTTAATAATGTCTAGCACCATTCAATAATTAATAGTGCTCGAGACTACACATATACATACATTCGCATTGTGGCTGCAGTAGTGCTGCATGCAGATATACAAAATCACAGCTGAAAGCCTGAAAATGTGTTAAAATACGCCACTTTAGATTCTTGTAACCAAAAGAGGACTGATTTAAGATGTTTGTTAGGGGGTTCAAATTTAAAAAAAAAAAATCAATGTAGTAAAATTCATATAGAGCCCTTGTTTGAGCCCCTTTTGAGGAAAAATGCATTTCAAAATGGAAAAAGCTTCTCCGCCAGAAAAGGGTCACCCACCTGGGTGACCGACCCTCACAAGCTGGTGGGATCGACGTGGGGCCCGGCTGAAATAAAAAATTAAAAAAAAGCCCCCTTCCCCCCCAAATGTGTGTATTCTGTCGGGGGGGTGTGACACCCCCCTGGCACTGAAGCTCAATCCTTTCAAAATACTTTCTCCATCGCAATTATATAGGCTTGTTTCATTTTTTTACACGGATTAAGAAAGTTTCTTTAATGTCATCGGAAAATTAATTTTTACCAAGATCTTTCTTAGTTTACCACTATTTAATTTTCAGTATGTAAAACTAAATTATTGTTGGAATTAATACAGAATTTGAATTTTCAAGAAGTTGGCCTATTAAGAGGGGAAAATTTAATGAGAGTATATTGGTAAAGGAACACTACAAAATATTCTACATTAGGAAACATGTCTATATATTTGGGACAAGAGAAAAATGAAACTCAGCCTATATAATTGGGACGGATGGAGCAGTGATTTTTAGGAGAATGTGGTTAAAAAGGAAAGAAAAATTTACGATTTACGTGTAAAATTCTTTTATTGAAGATGTGGGTTGAAAATGAGCTTTGAAAAAATTGGACTCAAACAAGGACATAAGTTAATAAGACAACAATAATTTAATAATTGTATTTAAAGATAAAACATTATCAATAGTAATTAGTATAGTATGCAATTCAGCAACTTGAAGGCAGGGAGCATGAATCTAAGCCCCTGTTTATGATCCATTAAAATTGGATTTTGAGGAAAAATATATTTTGAAATAGTGATTTTTTGAAAAATGTATGGTTACAAAATAAAAAATAAAAAATAAATAAATTGGGTTTACGTGTAATATTATTTTATTGGAGAATGTGTGGTTGAAAATAAAAGAGAAAACATGTATTTTGACAAAAATGGAGCCCAAACAAAGACTAATTATTAGCAAAACAATAATGTGAAATGAAGGCTTTAAAATGTCAAATGTGGTATAGAATGCAATTGATTAAGCAAGTCACAACATTTTAAATATAAAATTAAGTCTTCGTTTGATGGAGATTAAAATTAGATTTTTAGCGAATTTTGATAAAAGTTTATGAAATGTGTAGTTAAAAGGTTGTGGATTCCATGAAATATGTGATTAAAATTAATTTTTTATTTTGATTTTGATAAAAATCTAGATTTTAATTTTTATCAAACAGGGCAAACCCACAAATAATATCATAAAATTTAATGAAAAATGTTAAAATTTACCGGTTCTTGTTTTCATATTTTTTTATTAGTATTTTGTGAAATTAAATTAAATAAATTCAATTTTTTTGAAAATGAACCATTTTTAAATCAATCACATCCCTTCAAAGGAAAAAAAGAAATCTAATTTTTTTATTGATTATTGCCCACCCAATTAATTGTAATATTATTCACCCTTGATAAATATAGAAACTATTTTCAAATATTATGCAAGGTGATTTATCAAATTTTTAGTACTATTTCTCCATTAATTTGATTGTATAGCCATACAAATACGATTATTTTCTTGTAAAATCAAACACTAAAAAAGACAAAAACAGAAAACTACAAAAAAGAGTGGGAAAAAAAAACATGTTTAGAAATGGATAGGGGCAAGTCCAACCCCCATATCCATCCGCCCATGAGTTACGTAATGAATGTGGTGTTGTTGCAGGGAATTGATTGAAAAGTACAGTGAAGAAGTGGTTAAACTTGGTGAGAAACTGATGAAGATTTTGTCAGTGAATCTTGGACTGAGAGAGAACTATCTTTCCGAAGCTTTTGGAGGAGACGACAATGGTGCATGCTTGAGGGTAAACTATTACCCAAAATGCCCACAACCAGATCTTACATTGGGTATTTCACCTCATTCTGATCCTGGGAGCATGACCCTTTTGTACCCAGATGAAAATGTATCTGGACTCCAGGTCCGCCATGGCACCATCTGGCTAACGGTGAACCCACTTCCTAATGCCTTCATCATCAACTTAGGGGATCAACTTCAGGTTCTCTCTTCTTCTTGTTTCTTTCTCTCAACTATCTTGAAATGGTGTTTCAACTCACAATACTTTTTCGGTTTCTATTTTCATGCAATCTAGTTTTCCTATCATAAATCCTTCTGAATCGCAATGCATGAGGAGTAACGCAATTCAGCCCTTGTCTGGAAGCCATTTTCAGCAGATATTTTGCAAAATTTTGCCCGTTATACATTAAAAGGGCAGCATTTATTGACCAAACCAAGCAAAATTACCTTTGTACACTTTCGACATTTATTTCATTGTACTTGAGAGAGAGTCATTTCAAGGAATTTACTTGATGTTGAGTCAATAATGACGGCTGCATAGGAACTCGCGTACTATTCCAATGGTCCCATTATTCTTAAAATTCAGTAAGAATCGTGCCCAGACAAGGACTTAATATATCACCACCGATGAGAATTACAAGTTCAGGTAACAATAGGGTCCACTATCGCACATCAAAATACATTCCAACTTTTTTGGACAATTAGATAATAGACTGTCACCTAGAATAATAATAATAATACCCACTAATGATGAATATCATTGTTTAAATACTTGCATTTAACCATAATAACATTGTTTTATGTATTTTTGATCCTATAAAATTAACGTGTGAATTTTCATACAACTTATATTTTCATAATAATGAAATTTAAGTTATGTTTCCAAATTCTCTATATAAAAATATTTAATTAATTATTTTCGACGTCTAGTACTCATTTTGAACCTTTAGACATTTACTTCATTATCCGATCCAATTCTTGGGCTAATTATAATTGATGCATTGTTAATTGTATGCAGGTGGTAAGCAAAGGAAAATACAGGAGTGTAGAGCACAGAGTCATAGTGAATTCAGTGAAAGAGAGAGTGTCTCTTGCATTCTTCTACAATCCAAGGGGTGAAATGCCCATTAAACCTGCAGAAGAATTAGTCAGTGAAGAACATCCAGCACTGTATCCCTGCATGACTTTTGATGAATACAGACTCTATATTAGGAAAAGAGGTCCTTCTGGCAAAATCCAAGTTGAATCACTCAAATCCCATCCCTAGCTAATTGATTTGTTATGCTTCTTAAATTCATCAAACTATAGCTGTATTTTTGCATTAATTTATTGATAGAAACTACTGTTTAAAGCTTAAAAGCCTAGTCCAGTCATCTTTTTATGTGCACTTCTAGTCCAAATATTCTACTCAGTAAAATTATGCGCTACGTCAACAAAAAACTTCTATTGCCATTAGCCACGGACTTGTGTTCTAAAATATAGGAAATGGAGAACTTCCCATAAAAGTACGCATTTCATGCACGCGAAGAACAAAGTTCATTCCCACCTCCCAAATTATGTTAATGGTTAGTACACACCTGCAGATGCCATAAAATGCCTGCTTATATATAGTAAGAGGTGAACAAATGAATATTACATTGGAACAACAACTTAAAAATGACTCGTCAAATCTCTAAATAAAGTTTCGAATGCTGAATAGTTTGAATATCAATTCCAAATTGCGTTAATTCCGACAACTACACTACTTTGTCAGCCACAAATCAATGATACTAATCCTGAGTTGATTCAGTAGCCACTACTGCCTGTCTCGTTTCATGCAAGACGGATATTTATATTGCTTTATGCTCTCAGCTTTAGCAGGAGTTATCTTCACGCAACCACCGCTCACAGATGTCACAGCCAATCCAGAACTCATCTGCATTGTAATTTCCGCCACAGCTTCCACACAAGAGTTTCAATTATGCTACTAACAAGATATTTAGGATTCTCATAGTTGCAAACAAAAAGTCGTGTAGATTTAGAGAAATTAACAGCTTATTTGTGGCTTTCATTGGTGCGGTTATCGTTCCCATTTGCTTCTAGTCTCTCTAACTGATGGTTTTGTGGAACTTTCCGAGTTCCAACTTCCGTGGCTTGAAGTGAGCTTAGCGTATGAACTACGGACTAAGAACGATAATAGATGTATTACTTCATTAAGCCCCTATTTAGTAGGAATTAAAATCTAAATTTTAATCTAAGTCAAAATTAACAATTAATTTTGACCATATATTTAATAGAATTCACAACTTTTCAACCACATATTTCATCATTTTTTATCAAAATATACCAATTTTTTTTTTAATCCCCATCAAACAAGACTAGAAGATAAGAATAAATTTAGATGTACATTTTTTATGACATTAAGGATCGCATCCCCCGTGCGTCAAAATCTGGTCAGTAATGTGAAAGTATGTTATAAAAATTAATAGTAATAATAGATGTCATGTCAGAATGTAAAAGTTAATGTAAATCATTATGTTTCGAAAGATAAGTATATTTACATCATTATTTTCTATATAAAAAAATCACCATATTTTAATTGCACTAAAGTCCCTAATATTTATTTATGTAACAATTCCTTACACTTAAGTCCTTAACTTTTTTTTTTCATATTCTTATCCTCAACATTATACTAATTAGTACTTGTTAGTCCTTGTGAATTTTTTATCCAAAGTTTCTATTAGCATGCTTTTATATTTAATTGCACATTTATATTTATTATTATTAGAAAGAAATATGAAAGGCAAATAATTCATGCAAGTCAATTAACAAAAAAATTGGACAAAAATCATCACATAGATAAAATCTACTAATTAATGTAAAGATTGATAATATATTTATAAATGCGATAAAGATATTAAGAAGAAAAAAATAAAGATCCAAGGATTTCTAATGTAATTAAATGTGACGCAATTATAAGAACATCAATGTTAATAAAGCCTTCGTCAGATTAGAGTCAGAGAAGGTAAGCGACAATTGATCAAATTGCTTATATACTTAAATTAGGAACCACGTTCTCAGACCGCCTCCAATTCCAAACAAAGTGGGACAGTCGTACCTAATTGTCGTTCGATTGAATTTTCCTTGCAAAGTGATGTCCCGCTACCAAACCCTACATTCCCAGCTTAAAAGCCAGTGAACAGGCAAGTTGGTTGTTATTTTCCAAACACGACTAATGGGCATGAATTTTGCTTTCGCTTCCTGTCAAGAATTTTTGGAAGAAATCATTTTTAATTTTTGTTTAAAAACTATGCCTCTGTTTGGTAGAAATTAAAATCCAAATTTTAATTTAAATTAAAGTCAACAAATTTCAACCACACACTTTATGAAATTCACAACTTTTCAACCACATTTCATCAACTTTTATCAAAATCTACTAAAAATTTAATTTTAATCTCCACCAAACAAGGACTAATTCAAAGCACTTCCCATATCGAAAATGCTTTTAAAAGAAATCACATTAGATCAATTTCCTCTAAAAGCTCTTATAACTACTGGAAGCACTTTTATATAGTTAGCCAAACGGATCCAAAAGCAAAAATTGGATCTCAAACTCTTTTCGACTTTTCAAAAGTTATGCCAAATAACCCTAGACAATGGTCGGAGTTTATAACGTTACCAATCATTTTTAACCAAACGTATTCAACCGTTCAAACATTTGAAGTTTGAGATTGTCCCCAAGAAATTATTGCAACTCCCAACAGATTTTCAAAACATAACTACAACAACATCCCGCTTTATCATGTAATGACGACTGCTATTGGCAGCCTAACTTCAATCCACCTACACATAACAAAGCATGAAGCAAATACCTATTGAGGAGGAATTAAGTTGAGACAGGAAGTCGAGTCGCAGTATCATTGAATAAATCATTCACAACAGAAGAAATGTGAAGTCAATTAAGTATTCAACTCAGTAGAAGCCATTAAATGCTACACCTGCATAATCAACAAAACCAGCTTTCAAATAAATTTGTGTTAGTTACATGGTCATCCGACAGGTAGAAATTAGGTATAGAGAGAATTGGCAATTCTAGAGGTGTTCCAAATCCTACACCCTTCAAAATCAAGCAACTCCTATAGATTACATCTATTTTCATCTAGTAAGAACCATTTATTTTATCCTATTGTCGCAGCAACATTGATTAACTACAGATGGTATCCTACAAAAACTTGACAGAATTGCAAAATGAGCATCGCATGGTCACAAGATTGAAAAATCCCAACAAATGGTGTTATACATCAGTCATTAGACAACCTTCACGTTCCATTTTTCTCATGTTGTGAAGCCACTTCTCCATCCATGTCATAGCAACTACTTGAAAGAGAGCTGTTAAGTTCCCCGACTAATTTTAATTACCAACGCAAGATAGCTTCCTTCACTTGCATCAATATTTCACCATTCCTTCTTAGAAGATTGAATTTTTCTCACTGGAAGCCAGCAGGCCGACCAACTCAATACGAAATTAGCCAGCTAGTTCAAAAGTTCCACATCAGAAGCACTAGTCATCTAGCAAGATGAATTAATAAAAGTGCAGAAGACAAAACCCTTATCAGCTATCACCTTTAGCAAATAAAAAGGAACAGAGAATTAATTATGTAAAACCAACTGAAGAACACACATAAAGGTGAAAAACAAAGTTACCATTTAGACAGATGTGGGGAACCCTAAGATCAACTGACAGTAGAAGATTCTGTCGCCGTTTCTCTATTTGAATTGCCTGTATCCCCAGCCTCATTCTGGTTTGGCTGTATCTGACTTGAAGTTTGAGTATCTGATGCAATGCTAAGAACGACCAAGGTAGACCTGAAAGGCAAAAGGTTCCATCTAGTTCAATAAAAACAGGAGAAATCTTTTTATTGACCAATCTAATATAATAACTTAGATTAAACCTTGGAAGTGAAGATTTTATATGCGGTTGACTTGCATGGGCAACTAAGGGAGCCTTTACTGCAGGAATTTTATTCAAGGCATTTTCAAGCTGCGCTGAAGGTAGCTGAAAGACAAACAACATTCAAATATATAAATTATTCTGATACAACAAAATATATATTCTAGTGTCCAATCAATTCTTGCATCTAAAAACAATAACAATTATTCAGAACAAATACATCTAACAAGAGGCCGAATACTCGAGTGTTGTAGATGTGCAATCATTTTGCTGACCATAAGAAAACAACTGATTTGAACGTTCATTCAAGTAAAGTACAGGACTCTTCTCTCATTTATCCTGGTACACAGGTATCTTTAAAATAAAATGTTCCTTTCTTCAGATATAAATTATTTTGAAGGTTCCGTCATTTGCTGTCTCATTTCCTGTGTGTAGCAAGACCAACTTCTAAATACTGGAACACTTCAAAAGTAGTAATGTTATTTAGTTGTTTTTTTTTAAGGTTCTGCCCTTCATAACTATCCTGTGGCTTGTGCACGTTGAGACCAACATTCGTACTACTATACTATCAAAAGGTGTAATACAAGAACCCTGTGTTTGAGCTACTGGTCACATAAAACAGAAGAAAGAAACTAGAGTGCAAAAGAAAAAATACTAGAGAGCAAGACCAGGATAGAATAAAACTTATTAGCCCAACTGGACTGGAGTAACATGAGCCTTTCATGCAATGAACCTAGATTTTCTAACTACTGAGTGGTTTTAGAATTCCCGTCACTTTCACAGAATTTATCATTTTGTTAACCAATGTAGCACATAACTTTTGGAAGCCAAAATATATGTCCATACCAAAACATAAATGACATGTTGATAAGATGAAATTCTCCCCATACCTGATATTTAGTGTTACATAGCAGCACTGCAGAAATACAAATAAAGTGACAGCCTAGATCTAGAAGAAACAGCATGCATACTCAAGTTGAACAAAAAGAAGCACAAAATGAAGGTGGTGACCTTTAAGATAATAATAAGATATATAAAGGAGCTAAAACCATACTCGACTTTTAAGCAATTCATTGCAGGAAATAAAACAAACCTGAAGCAGCACACTGAAAGATTGTGGCTTCGTCAACTGAGCACACTTCACAAATCCTACCCACAGCTTTGGATATTTCCATATCTGCACATTACGTTCATTATAATGCTGAACTGACAATTAGGTGCAATCAGCAACCCATTGTTAAGTATTACCTGCTTGCTTACAAGCCGAGAGAGAATCTCCATTATAAAGTCCACCTGGAAAATGTTCTCAAGAAATGTTAGTGGATCTAAACATAATACATAGAAAATAAGAACCAATATGTTCATTCACTTCATAAAGCGATGGGGAAGCCTTCATTGCAAAGATTGTTTTGCTGATTGTACATGTATATCTAGCCCCCGTTTGGCCCCCTTTCTCATTCTCATTTTTTCTTCTCTATCTTATTTTCAACCACACAATCTTCCATAAAATAATATTAAATGAAAATCGAAAAATTTTCCTTCTTTTTCAACCACACATTCTCCAAAAAAACACTATTCCAAAGAATCCAAACATTAAAAATCGAAAGAAAAGGGGCCAAACAGGTTGCTAATATAACTCGGTGGTGCACAAATTTCAAAACTTGATATCATGACATAAACCTAATTTTGAAAACTGGACATACTTTCTCAAAAATGAAATGAAATTTGGCAACAGCAAAATCATTTTAAAATAATTGTCCTCAGTAAACATTGAGTAACTGCAAATCTAGATCTGGTCTCTCACAAGCTCATCCAATGGCAAATAAATCATAACAAAACAATAAATACCAAGTGCCTTACCAAAGAAGGAAAGGCGCCTATGGCCTGCAGTACCGTACGCATAAATAATAAGGGAAGAGGAATTTGTTCAACCTGCACCATGATGTATTGATAAGTAATCAGATGCTAGGCATAAGGGAAGGTGAAGAGCGAGGAGGCCAAGAGTGGGATTAATGTTCATACCAATTGGTTCAAAACCTTAGCAAGAACCTGCTGAGAAAATATTTGTCGCTGCTCAAAACAAGCATTGCATGCATCTGTGACCTGCTTAAAAGGATAATATTATTAGGTGCACAAGTTCATCTGGAATAAAGAAATTATATAGGACAAATGACAAGTTGCCTTCTTCAAGGGAATTCCATCTCTGTCTGGATCAATCCCATGGATGGCAATTAATGCTTCCTCTGGAGTGAGCACTGGACCAGAATGAGTGGACCCCTGGACAATAACCATTTTAAAACACGATCAGGCAGTAAAATAACACTAATTTGAGTGTATAATACATTTTGCAAGAGAAAGACATGTTCAAGTTTAGCTACATCTTGACCCATCATGGAGCAAATGCCATTTTATGTGCGTTTCGGCCTGAGTGAAAACTAAATGCATGTGCTTATGATTTTATCACTTATAGTAAAAACATATTTTTTTCCAACCACTTCAGCGGACCCACACCATATAATCACTTAAATTTTGGCCTATTTTTGGTTTCTTTTTTATAAACACTTCCCAAACATGCTCTTTATTTAATCACTTACCAAACATGCCCTAAAAGGGTAATTGAAGAAATGGAATGAAAATTGAAGTGAAGAGTGATGGACCAAAAAGTATTTATGAGAAGTTTATTTAGCATTTGGGGAGTGATTAATTGGTTTCTTGCATTATAAGCTCGAATCGGAGAAGGAAGAAATTAACTGACATCCTTTTCTTCAAACAAAAAAATTGACGTCCTGGTAATTAGACAATACACGAAAACAGTAAGTACATTAAACAGAAGTTTGTGGTATCAAATATATAAGTCCTAGTTATCCAACTCCATGAATGTAATCTTCTTGGTGAAATAGGAAAATAAAGGGATTTTTAAGAGAGAATTTGTATGCCCCTTGCACTTCAGAAAAATAAAAAATAATCAGCAAACAAGATCCTTGATATAAAACACCTGCAGAACGCGAGAAAGAGAAGCTTGGAACTTATCCAGTGGGGCATTCACCAGATGCGAGAAAATAAGTAAAACCTGACAAGAAGAAGATGCGTTTTCTATTAGAAAATGCAAATGCATGAGCAGAAAGTTGAAGAAAAACAAGAAAAAAAAACACAAGAAGATTGGGGGAGAAAAAAGAACATATAATTCAGTTCCACAATAGTTTTCAGCACAAGATTTCATCAACATTGTGACACAGTATGAATATATCATCACTTGACTAGAAAGCAATGGCTGATAGGAGTAAATGGGTTCATGATCACCAAAGCTAACATGCCTTCCAACCAAAAAAGAAACCTTTTTCCTTTCTTCTTGCCACCAAAAGGGTATCATCATATGCCATAACGCACATTAATAAATGATTTTTACAGCCTAGTAATTTGAGGCCACTAAGAAGCAGTTAAAAGGTGGTACAAAGAACATCTACAGCTGCCTTGTAGCACCAGAAATCATCCTTTTGTTATATGTCGATCAGCACCCCAAAGGATGAGTTTCTCAAAAATAAAATAAAATAAAATTCCAGGAACTGTAGTTCAAGAGCTTTGGATTAATTTAGAAATTCCTTGGGAACCTGATTTTGGAATATAGTTGTCTGTGTCTAAGTCTATCCAAAAACTACTTATCGGCCGGCATCAAATAAAATGCTGAGTTAAAGAGTAAATTTTCCTGCCAATCAGTCAAGACAGCAATGGCAGATTTCTAACGTAGGCTGAAAGTTCAAAAAAACATATACATAGAAAGAAATTAGATTAATTGATTATTCAAGCTGATGTGAAAATTATTTCTTCACTAGAATAATCTACATTACAATCTATAAGTTACTAGCTTCTCTCTATAGTATTGTTTAGCAATGATTTAAAACAAGGACACTTAGTTCTGATGTGGTAGAGCTTCAATATCAATCCTTAGATATCATGGTTTAACAACGAAAGATAGAGCTTTAAAAGTCGGATTTTTTGTCAGTTACAAAAGATTCACCATTGTTAGAGCAATACGCAATAAAGTCCTTCGCAAGCACACAACAAAATTATTTCTCAATAAGTAAAGAATAAGCATAAGAAAAATGAAGTTACTAACACAACAGTCAGATACACAGAGTATCAAAAGAAACAGAGAATCAATATTGAATACCAGAAGAAATAAAAATAATCGTCACCTCGTGTTTAGGCAGGAACGATAATATTGGAATCAAAATGTCTATTTCCTGTGGAAAGAGCAGAAACCAAAATAAGAATAGCAATATCATATCAATTCAATCACACCGTATGACTCAAAAATAATCACTGTTCAACAAGCAGCAGAAAGAATTTTCGATGTACAGATGTTCAGTAATCAGGTATAGCAAGTACTAAAAAAGATGGTGGAAACCACTAAAATTACTTCTGTGACACAGAATTGCTATTAGCTTAAGCGAAAACAGACAGATTTGACATCTGAAATGAAAGGGGCTGAAACTTTTGAAAGTCAATACTCGTTCAGAGTCAAGAAAAAGAAAACTTTATTAAGAAAGAGATGGTGACTAAAACAAATAAGATCTATTCTACCTTCAGTCTTGTATCATATAGCTTCCTAACAGTAGATAACAACTCTGGAGAAGGAACCGTTCCATCTGTGAGTGTGTGCACTACCTGCAGTTGCATACTGAATCATGAGCAACATACAGATATTTCCTCATAAGCAAGCTTATCGAGAAACATATACATAGGCAAGACCTGCATCAGGAGCCCTTCACTTCCAGTTGGTGGATCTGATATAATATCAAGGAGATAGGGCGATGAGCCAATGGTTCGGACAAGCAAAGGAATTTGATGATGAACGGCCTGCACGTATAGCTGCTCCAATAAACAACCCCAATGACAAAATTTTGAAATTATCGACTATCACAACAGCAAAATGTTTACTTGTGAGTGGGTCAGACCTGTTTTGCCACCTTGGACATGTTATTATAGACATCAAATATTTGGCGAAAAAGAGAGTGCTTCTGTTGATCAAATACATAACACTGTTAGTCTGTATAAAATAAAGCCATTACTAGGGTACTGCATGTAAAATTATGATATCAGCGATGGGGAAAAAATCAGAAGAAGACATCAACCTTTGTACACAGGGCAAAGTAGAGGGCTGTGAACTTTTGCACTTCAGCTATAGACGAAGATGATATGCTTTCTGAAGAGGTTAACCGATGAGTATCGATTGAAATGTCTTTGACAATGGCACTAACCGATTGATTATCACTTGAAGGCTGTTCATCCTAAACAAAAAGAAAGCAGAATATCAAAAACCAAAACCATCACAAATAATGAACCAGAGTTTTGAGGAAAATAATAGAAACAATCATTTACTTTGCCAGCATCAAGTTAACATTTATCAAATTCTACATCAGACAACAGAAGTTCTCTTTTTTTGTATCATGCATCTCCCTTCCTTTTTGGCTAACCAACCAAGAGAGATTTTATGTTGAACAGCTAATACTTTTCCTTTGTTTTCTTGTGCTTTTTAATTGTGAAATTGAAACACAACTTATGAGGAAAATCTTTACACCTGATGCAACAGCTCAGAGAACGACTTTATAACACAGCTTTCAAGATAGAGGTCTTTAATCAAATTTGCAGGTCATACTTCAACCAAGCAAATTGTCAAACTGTGAAATCAATGGTAATTAGTTTATAAAACACCATCAATAGTAAACCTTACAAGATAAAAATGAATTAAAATGCACTATTTCATGTCGAAAAGAGAACATAAGAAGCATACAGTGATAAAATTGAAGAAGGTCAGAAGGATCAAGTAAAAAACCTATCGAAGCATTCACAAACTGCAAGGAATGAACTATTGACAAAAGAGGAGCATGTACTTGACATAATGAAATTTTGGCATAAAAGAATTAGACAGTGTCAGTGGTTCTTATGCAATGAGTCATCCAAAGAATGGAAGAACAATGTTTGAAAAAATGATATAACTAATAACCCTCTGCAGATTGATGTAGCCAAAAATAATTCAACAAGAAAAGGTTATTTTAGCACCCAGATTTATGATCTATCCACCAAATGCAAAATGGTAGCAATATTTCAATGCTAAATACTAATACTCACATTGCATCCAGCTACTAGTCACCCCCACCCCCACATGTGAATAGCCATTGGATAAAATTAACAACAAACCATAAACTGGAACAGAAGTTAATCACGCAAAACAGTAATCTTCCCCATCAAAAGTCTAGGCATATACTTTGACATCAACTAGGTGGAGGAAAAAAAAAATTTACAAGGTATCAACAACTACTAGCAAATCACTCAATATAATATAATTCTCCCTAGTCTCTAACTAAATGTCACGATGAGCTGGGCCAAATTAGTCATGTAAGAGTTTCAGAAGTTGCATCTTCTATATGGTTTTCCAAAACTTCAGATGAAAAAAATAAAAAACAAAATTATCTCAACAAGGGTTACACAGGAAAGAAGAGTTCATTTTACGAAAGTGTTTACACACATCTAGACGTCCAGAAGGGTAATGACGACATTCAATTGAGAAGAAAAGAGTAAAAGGATTTAACATAATAAACTCAGAAAGTAACTGATATGGTGGCCTTTCTGTTATCACGTCTAAACAAGTTTGCTGTGTCTAACTGGAAGAATTGATTTTGATCTTCAAATTTCACCTCCTTCCCCCGTCCAATTAGAAAAACCTGCTCTCTCTTTACATGTAGTAAATATTTTGCCTAGAAGTCGGAAGTATGACCTAGACTCCAAACATGTAAAACCAATTTTGCGATATAGATGACAAGAAGGAAAAGCCACCTCGTGACCATGGAGCCAACTTCACATCTATAGACTATAGAATCATTACCTTCTGTGATCCAGTATCGAGCCCATCAGTATCACTTCTCTCTGTAGTAAGATCTATGTTTGCAACTGAGAGCAGCATTTCCTTGGCAAAATCTTCAATTTCTTCAGAGACGGATGGTAGAGGATAAAGCTTATTTGCCACCTGCAACAGAAAAAACAAAATATCATTGACAAAAAAGAGTTGATAGATATTCTAGGAATAGAATTAGCCCCCTGTTTGGTGGCCATCCTCTTTTATTGGAAAAACATTATTTTGAACAGTGATTTTTTGGAGAATGTGTAGTTAAAAAGTAGGGAAAAGTTTCGAGTTTACGTGTAGAATATTTTTATTGTGTAAATGTGTGATTGAAAATGAGAGTAGAAAAAAGAGTTTCGAAAGAATGGGAAACAAACGGAAGCTTAATTTAGTTAAGTGACAAGCAAGTTGTGAATGAATACCAGACGTATTGCCTTCATACGCACTTCTTCCAAGTGATGAGTTGCGCTCTGTTCGGACATCGAATGAATAAAAGTCAGACCAACACAGATGAAGGATAAACTAGGTACTAAGAAAGTACAGGGACTAATGAGCTTCTCAATCAAAATGTTTTGGACAATCAAATACTGTCTAAAAAATGATGAACCATATTCAAGTGGATTGAATAGTTAGCCTCAGAATTAGGATTTAGAAAAGTCTGTGATATTGCTAAAAAATAATCTCTCACGCCAATAAATTGTTGCACAGATGACTAAATACAGTTCATCAATTTGTAAGACATAATTATCATTCGCAAAATGAATCGTATATACCATTCCAATTTTACAGGGATTTTAAAAGTGCAGATCCATGAATCAAGAATTACGGGAATTAATGATATAAATCCTTGAAAGAAACTGGAAGGTGGCATTTTCTATCTTGACAAACTTGAATAAAATAATTGTTATCCAGTCCTTAGATACCAAAATTCTCTAATGAAAGCTAGTAAAAGAAGGAAACCTTCAAAGCAATTCTGAGGCACGGATCTCGAATTGGAGGTCTCAGCAAAACTAGGCTCCATATAGCACTAAGGCCCTGGGTAACCCGATCACCACTATGCAACTCCTTATCATCATTATCACTACTACCAGGAGAACACAAGCACTCCAGCATTTTGAAGATTGATTTTGGCAGGTAAGGGACTTCAACAAGCAATCTGCTCAAAAATTTCTCAGAAGCTGGAAAAGAATCTCTTAGTGTTTCTGCCTGCATGATGAAAGAACAACAAAGATAAGAAGTATGATAACAATCACTCTCCAAGGAAAACAAACTGGTAACAAGAAAACTACGTGCACACCACTTTAAGAAGAAACATCTCATAGACAGATTTTGCAGTCGTTGAAGAAACAAAATCATGGTCTTCTTCTGCCTCACCATGTAGCCTGTAGAGGACACGCAATGTTAACTCGTGCCCCTGAAGACATACACTGATTAGTAACATCATAAAGAATTTTCAGATAACAAATGTGCAGGTGAAAATAATATTTTTAACACTACTACAAAGAAGATTCAAAAGACAGAACTTAGAACACCTCGAAAGGCAGGAAAGAAAAATGAATACATGATGAAAACTAGCTCTTTTTCCCCATCTGCCACTACCCCAAAGCACAAGCGGGACTGGGCGGAGACAGGACAAAGAGAAGAAAATAAAGTGTAGCTTTCCCTAATGATAAACACAAGTACTACTGGCGGCAAAACAAGCACGGGCAAGAATTACTTAGGACTTGATCGTTATATTACTCAATGTGTTCTGACTATGAAACTTCACGTATGGGTAACAGATAATGTGAACATAATGAAATAGAGGTTAAACAAGTTCTGAAATCATGTCCCCTCTAGACCCAAAAAGAACAGATGCTAAACTATAAAATTACCTCATGATTTACATAGTCGGACAATATGTGCGCTTGCAGAGGCTTCCACAGGTCTAACTCTGAGGGGAACTGCATAATACAATCACATATAAAAGACTTAGTGATAAGCATCATAGAAAGATACTGGCATCCATACTTTGGGGTTTTCACCTTAATTCCTGAATGTGCAAGAATGGAGAAACGGAGTTGAGAATCTCCTGCTACTGCTATTTGTTTATATGCATCAATGATGCGCAGAAAAGCTGATTCTTCTAAATGGTCCTTCTGTTCATCGGCAAGGTACATGACAGGGGCAGACATCTTGGGCAGAACCAATGGCGTAGGTAACCCGATAGAAGAGGCTATATCCATGACTGCTGCTTTTGGACTAAGCTCCTCAGACCTATCTGTTGACATTGATGGAACTAATTCTAATGGTGACCTACTTAAACCAGTGACTTGCTCTGGACTGGTATCCTCTAAATCAGTGGAGTCCAGTGAAGAGACAGCCACTGTTACTGGCAATCCATCATCTTGAGTGGACGAAGCAAGACCAGGTATTTCATTCACTACAGTTTCGACGTCAATGGTGTCAGATGTCAACGAAGGATAACCAGTATCAGTTCCAGATGGAATATGCTCAGTAGAAACAGATCCAATAATAGGTTCTGTTGCTTGTCGACTTGCTGAATCAAAGCCATCATATGAAACATTACTATCAGCCAAATTCACCAGTGGTTCAGATTTTGACTTCAGATCTTCTTCTCCTTGAGCTAGCTGCAATAGCAATCAACTTGAACCATTTAACAAACAAGAGATTGAAACTCAATGAGCTCAATATCAATGCATATAAGAAATTCAGAGAGAGAAGCAAAGTATCTCAGCCTAAAAAGTAGACAATAAATATTTGGATTCTAAGAAGATGTAACACCTCAAATCCACTGGACAATGAATGATGAGATTCAACTTGGATATCTTTCTGCGGAGACGACCCAGATCGTGAAAGTATGTCTGTCAACAATGAAGATAATTTTTTGAGGTGTGTATCACTTCCAATCATACCAGGTTGAGAACCCATCATTGGGACAGGCTCTCCATCCCCTTCAGAATTAGGGCGATTTGGAGAAAGATTTCGCATGTTAGTCATAACAACTTCAGCTAGCAGGTCAGCAGATATGCTAGAAATGAGAATCTCTAAGTATGCAACAGCTATTTCACCCTGAGCCACCAATGCACTAAACATTGCAACAAGCTGCTGCACCGGTCCATTATCTGCATCTGAAGTGGATGTTAATGGTCCTCTCGAAGGGGCTCCTTCCCAAATCCCACTTGTCTCTTGCACTGATTCCTCTGAAACTCCAAGTCCTGTTCTAGCACGCTTCCCAGACAATTCATCCCCAGGCAAAACAGAAATATCCTGCACTCCAGGTCTTTTTCTCCCAGCATCAGCATGCTCAGCAGCAAATGCTTCAATTGAAGGCTTTTCATCCTATATGAAGTTTGTGGTCCCATTTGCAAGAATGTAAAATGATCGTACATTAAGATTTCATAAGAAATTATTGACTGGAAAATAACAGATATCCATAAACCTGAGCCATTCGTGAATCATCTTTCCAGTCCGCACTTCCATTGTCCTCACATACATGGTTCAAAGCGTGTACTGATGACCTTCCAGCTTTTATTTCTTCCAGTGCACTAACTAGACGATCCCTCCACTCCAAAAACCAAAAATAAAAAATTGCCAGGTCAAAATCATCTTGAGGTAGAATTCCTTATTGCTCAGATGTTGAAGAGCAAGCCAAAAAATTATTGTCTTCAGATGAGTAAAAAGTAAGATAACAAAGAGAGGCAAAAAAGAACTGCTGCATTTAAAAAATGGAATGGGAAGAAATAGGAAAAATAAGAACTCAAGTAGCTGCAAGAGGAGATCAGAAGGGGCCACAGAAACTTCACAAATGCAAAAGGCAAAAAAGAATCAAGAAACATGAATCCTGAAAACAAGATACCGGTGCAGCACCAGGGTGTGTGCAACTCAAACAAGACTCGAATGCATTCTTCAGAGCATGATGCACTCCAGAAAGATGCATTCCTTTGCTAGCAGAGCTTGAAGGATCCAGACCAAGTAAAACTGGCAATATGCGACCATAAAAGGCAGGCCTCTTCCTTGCAACAGCTGAAAGACTAAAAAATAGAAACAAAATGAAGAAAACAATGAACACCTGATACAGCACATATAGGACAAGAATAATTAGCATAACCACCAGAGAAAGATCGTATATACCTTTTTATGAGCACAATTATTGTCAAGCTACTAAGTGATTTAACTGTTGGGAATCTCAGCTGATCAAGCAATAGACCCAGGTTCTGGCTTGCTTCAACTGACAAATCTCCAATATTGAGTACGGGATGACCTCCACGAAGCCATGAAATATTGAACTCCTCAAACTTCCCTACATGCCAAACAGGCAGTTCCAGAAACTATTATTCAGTGGATCACAAAATAATATCCTTTCATCCATGCACTGCCCCAAAACCCTATTTTTTGAAATACAAATTCCCACAAATACATAATACACATTTACCTTCAGAAAATTGATCAGGAGGAATCTCCAAAGAGCCATTAGGATCAGGTGTGTAAAGTACAACTACTGCTTCCACAAATTTCAGTGCAGCCAACCTTCTCCCATCACTTCCCACCTTATAATGACATTGACAGTTAGAGAATGTTCAAGTACAATGTGCATAGAAATCAATGATCATGTTCCAGGTGATACCTGAAACGCCATTGAGTATATTTCATCCCTGAACTTTAGCACACATGCCCATGATGATCTAAGAGATGCATTCAACTCGCTTGAGTAGAGGCCCTGGTCATTGCAATGGGACAAGCGTAAAAATTTTATATTGACATCCTGACTTATGCGATATAACAGATTGCATATATGACAAGGGAATATAGGCATACAAGTTTAAAAGGAAAGAAAAGGAGACAAGTATTTTTGCCACTACATCTATACCATCATGCCATTTACCACTACTACTACCTAGAACCAGGAGCTAATACCCACCAACATGGGCAACTAAAGGTCAGAAATTTTTTCAACTACAGTTTTCTGACAGAAAATTTTTCAAATTTTTTCATAATATCAACCAAACACTAATTGAAGGAAAAATGAGTTTGTAAGAACTAAATTCCATTACAATAAATTCTAGCATGAAAATTTCTGTGTCTACCAAAAAGAACATAAATATAAAATGTTTTCTGTCAAAGAACAGCATTAAAGTTGCATCTCCCTCATGTCATAGTAATATTGTGTGACTACTTCGCTACCTGCAAAAAGAGTAGAGAAATGCTAAGCGCCAATTCACTTGTGAGATTTTAACACGAGAACAAATTTAATCATCCCCAGGCTCCAGTTCTAGGCAAAGAAATAAGTTTCCACCCGGCTAGTTAAGTGGGTTTTGAAAAGTTCATGTTTGAAAGAGATCAATAGAAACGTTAGGTTTGAACTATCACCCAATCTTGCAAGCAGTACACCCGAATCAATTGATGAATGGATATACATCGATGGTAATTATAACCAAAATATACTACACTTCTTAATTTCCATCACAGATTCAGAAATACATAACTAGACTCTGAAAAGATACGCTAATTGAATAAAGGAACTTTGTTAAGCAAAAACAATTACGCAAGAAAAACAGCACAATGTAAGCAATGAAATTGATTTAATATGAAAAAGGGAGATGAATAGTATTTAACTACTCCAGATCATCAATTTAGATAAAGTTCGTGCTGAACTAAAAGCAGAATGTCCAAATTCATGTTGCATGTTCAAAATGTTTGAACCAACCTGGACAGCAATTTTGACCAGAGTGGAGCGAAATATATCAATACCACATGCAATGGCTTGTCGAGCAACAGCTGGTGTATCATCCTTCAAGACAGTGATCAATACAGGTACAATTTCAGGTAAGAATTCCAAGTTCTTCAAACCAATTTGACCAATCATCCTACGTCACAAGAAAATACTTCAAACAAAAATCAAGACACCACCTTATAAGAAAATATGTCGAGCTATAATGTTCACTTTTCTCATTTTTTTTTTTTTTTGGTCATTGACTTAAAAGAACTATCTTAGACTCAAGGAATGAATGTATAAACTCCAATATTCAGGTCAAGTCCAACACAATAACTAGACTAGAGCAGAAGCAACAATATCAGCATCAATTGTACTTCAAAAATAATAGAAAAATATTAGTTACAACTGAATATTATTCATCCACGGCATATTCAACTTGAAACACCATCATACTCATATCATATGAGTGGACATCATTTGATGTGTACATCGTGACACATATAAACACGGAATATTAAGAAACATTAAATTTAAACAAAAGGACTCTGAATCTGGTTCACATGACCATTATTGGGTAGTTTAAAATTTAAAACTTACAAAAACAACAAAATAAACCTAATTCCATACAAATCTTAAACTTTAAACCTTAAACAAACAGATGCACGAGATAATATCCTGCAAGAGCACTTGAATATGAATACACAGTAAGACTTTTAAAACTTTCTAAAATTGCAAATATCATACAGCAATTCATCACCCATTGGAAACAAAATTTTAAACGGTGTGTTTAATACTCTGTATGTGTGTGTGTATCATCCGCATGGGGGCAAGGCTGCCGCGCTTGGTATTGTGAGTTGTAATCTATGGATCAAAGAGAAGGGAATATGTGAAATCCATTCCGGTTCCTGATTCCCCTAAAGCAAAAGACTAAAGAAATGTTCTAGTTAAGTCAGAGAGTAGATGATACGTCGAAGGGTGAAGCCTAGCCAATAGGGAGTCATCGAAGTATAAGCCCACACACTTGCTAGTTAATATTGGATCGTCAAAGACCTTATTCTATTTATTAGTACTCTCTCTCCCCTAAAGTATCTAATCCAAACCCCTTCCCTCACTTCGTTCATGATAGTAGATCAAGTGGCTACTTTTCCCCTTTATTGTGGTGTTTCGCCTCTTTCCTTGGCCTTATCATTTGAATTTCATGTAATCGAACGCGAATCAAATTAACCTCCATCCAGCTTGTACCTAAACTCTGAAAGCGAGA